ATTAACATTTACTTAAGTCATCAAGTTTTACTCAAGAGAAATTGATATGTTTTTCCATGAAACGTAAATGTACGTAATAGATTGGCTGATATGCGTAATCTCTTTTGGCATTGTTTTTAAATTACCCAAACGTTGTAATTAAATGCTGTAGAAACAAGCCAAAACATACCTAAAATGACTTCAAAATTCAACTTACTGACGCAGGTTGTGACACCCCAAATTCTTTTAAGATCTTAATAATAATGTCACATAACTGACATTCCTAATCTATCATAATCTTATGGGTCTCCCATTGTCTAGGAGATTATCGAATAGTACATCGTGTTAAAACATGAATAAACGTCCAGGGAAGAACGCTGTTCGGTCCTTGAAGTTTATATAATTCATATATCAGTGATGAATGTCCATAACTACATACGATGATCTCGGGTAACAAATTTTCAAATCTGAAAATATTTCCCTTAAGTTCGCATTGACACAGGTAAAAAGAGACCTTCGCATCGAAATCGTGGAGTTTTCGGCAAGTACGTGAAAATAAAAAAAACAACAAAAGGACTAGAAAAACAAACAACACTCATTGTTTGATAAATAAATTTCTTCACGCTTGTCATAAAGAAATGTGCTCTCCGAAGAGATAAAATTAAGTATGGCAAAACGAAGCAAAATTCTCTGTGAAGCTAAATTCTCTGTGATGTCATATTATTTTTTATAACTTGTTTTGTTTAAAATCGTTAAGTATTAGGTACTGTGATTATTACGTTTAAAATTTAAAGTCCAAAAACCTACGTAGTGGTAAACTGACACTGAAAATTGCTTGCATTACTCCGTGAATCTTGATGTGTAAAATGACGGGCAGCAATACTTCATTAGGTGTAGTTAATTTGGTGGAAATCACTGCGGTACGGAAACAAACACCATCAAAGGTACCCGCCGTTGTAGGAGGGGAAGGACAGTAATGGACCACATCCAAAATCCGAAGATCTGTAGAGTCCCTGAAGACTTATGCAAATTATCATTGATGGTTTTCCAAATGCATAATGACAATCCATCCTCGGGTGTAACTGGCATTTCCGTAATGCTATGTTGCAGTGTCTGCTAGACGGACTGCCATTAGCCTCATTCAGGAGGAATGTCGAAAGCATCGGGTATGGTGACATGTGCAATTACTGTCACCGTGAGATCTTGGAGAGTTTCATGATGTGTAAAATAAGGGGATGGCATCAGTCTATGTGGCATATGAGCCACTTTGTCATTGAACAAATCATGCAGTGTAATGAATAGAGAATCAATGAAAGTGCTGATGTGGGATGAATGGAGATCTTGGTGCTTGTGTACTATAGCCCCAGGTTCGACACCGTGCGCTGGTGGACGGAAAAGAGGAATAACAATTTCCCCCTCGGTGTCAGGCACCTTGTAGGGCGAGGGAGATAGGGCGTGGAACGAGGGGTGTTGGGCGTGTGGTGAGGGGCGTGGATGGGGCTCAGGGGGCTTGTGGTGGGGGACGTGTGATG